AAATATGGAGTTCTGCAGAGCATTTTGGAGAGACAATAATGAGATGAGGAGAAAGAAGACAAGTCCAGCTATACAGTAGATGAATTTGCAAACTTTCCCCAGCTGTCGAAAATCATGTGGATGTGCTTCTGATCACGATGTCGCAGGGTATCCGCGGCCTACCCCCCCCCCCCCCCCCGCACGCAGCTAGATGGCTCGTTCTCCATGTTCAGTAAACCAGGGATTTGAGATTAGGAGAGCCAAGAAAATAAAACATGAGCCATAGGTTTGTGAGAGTTTAAATTTTCAGCAGAAAAACATTGACCCTCTGTGAGTGTGCTCTGCTACTGCAAAAAAGACGGTATCACCCGGGATGGAGTAGAGCAGCTGACATTCCAACATGGCAAAATTCAGCTGTTAGTCAGGCTTTCTAACAACAGGAATCCTTTTAGTGTGCTGCGATAGAAAATGGACATTTCAGTCAGACCACCTAAACTGAATAGTAGTTTCTCTCTGAAAACCTTCTGATGATTTGCCTGCTGTGAGTTTCCGTAATTTAAGCATGTGTTGTTTTGCTTCCTTTCTAGGTCAGTAAATGCTGTTTTACTCCAAGCAGAAGTCATTTGTTAAGGGAACTGGTGAAACTGGGTTCAGTTAAAGATAGGCAACATATGGACTTGTTACAGATTCTACCATAGGTTCCTCCTTGCCCTTCTTAATGGTCTGGCCAGGGCAGTCTGGGACGGTCCTCTCACTGAAAGGAATGTGAGGGCACAATTCCATCATTTAAGCACGGATTGTGTGCAGGAATGTGAAAAATCTTTCCTTTCTAACAAGTTTGAGTGTGCGCTTTTGTGAAATGCCCTGTCCCGTATGTGAAACTGCTGTTTTGAGTGCAAAATGGGCTGACTTAAGCTTGAAACACTCCAGAAATTCTCAAAATCAAACCATATTGCAGCTGCACCCTGCCTCCAGCAGTCTTGCATCTGAAATGGGGTGTTTAACTCAGAATAGCTGAAACGAAACATTTTGCACACTTCTAATTGTGTGAAAGAAGGAAAACCCTGATGGCTTGTGAACACTAGCCCAACCAGTTGTGAATTAATTGTGCTTGAGTTCCACTGAAATCAAGGGGATAATTAGGCACAACTGTTTCAAATTCAAAGGAATTACAACAACCTTCTGCAGGATCTGGCTGCTATTCTGGAACAGCTTTGCTTTCTTGTCCATCCCAGGCTCAAAAGAAACAGAATTTCATCAGTCATGTAAATATATAAAAAGCTTTGCTAGAAGTGGGATTTCTTCAAAACACTGCCCAGTCACATCTATAATTGTGCCCAAGGTGCAGAGAGGCACTAATGGGAAATGCCTCTTTTGCTTTCCAATTTTAAAAAGTGGATCATGTAATTGCTAAGTGATGTGACCTGAATAGCCAAGTAGGCCATTAACCAGTACGCCCTGTGTTATTCTGTATCGCCAGCACTTCATTGTCTCTTGTCAACTTGCGCTACCAAATCCACTACAGATATATACATACAATTAAATATTTTTCTGAGAACTAATTTGTTGATTTGGTTGTAATTCAACCTTTTGGTAAGAAAAGTTGTGCTTAAAGAGTCTTAATTTGGTTACACGTTGGCTTGTTAAGCCAGCTGAATTCAATTAAAAGTTTGTTGTTCATTAGACTGCTCTTCCTTTTCCCGACTACTCCTTTTTTGCTTAACTGTATGTGGATATTGAGTATAATAGTTTATGGGCAAAAATGGATAAATGCCGTTATCCTGCCAAGTGGGAAGACACTTGGCATTTCAGTTCTGGAAGGCCTGTGCCACTAACTCTGGAGTCATTTTGAATGTTTTTAGCTATTTTTAAACCCAAGTGAACTAAAAGCTAGGAAACTCTGTTCCTTTCTAATATTCCAAAACTCAAATGAGTCTTTTGTAAGGAGTATCTCCTTTCAGGAGTGTCTGCAGGGTATAGTAAAAAAAAGTCAATATGGCAGCCATGATAATGTGATCAAAGTTATGCCCATTTTTACGGGATGTGCAGCTTCAATCATAAACTCGCAGCTGTGGTCTTGAAATTTTTATCCACACCTTGCAGATACCATTGACTCCTTTTAAGTATTCTTTAAATATTGAAGGTATATTTATGTTAAAATGGCAAAACAACATGGATGGCTTAAAACAATACTGTAAGCAGTTACAGAAACAAGTTGGCTTTGGATTCAAAAGATCAGTGTTCTAAATGTGTTCTTTTTTAAACCACCCATATAGTATTTCCCCTGGTTCTCTAAGAAAATGTAAGCTGAGCACTGGGACTACAGAAAGTTCTCAGAACTGTTAAGAAATAATTTAAATCCAGAAATGATTGAAAACAATAGTTTTTCCTTTATTGTTTCAGTTAATGGGGGAATTATTCAAGATATAAAGTTCATTTCTTTGTTAATCAACAGTTACACTGCAGTAGAAACTCTGCCTTCAAAACAATGTTCAGAGTAAATGTTAAAACATGTACTTAGGAGTGCATTTTTCTCCAGACCATGCTCCCAGTTTTTGTATCCCCAAAGGACAGCAAGAATTTCAGCCTTAAAACTCAGAAGTGTAAAATACAGGCATGAAACCAGTACACTTAATATTAACCTGCACAAAATGTTGAATAGGAAGTGCTGAATGAGGACATGTAAGTGTATCAAGAGAAGTGGGGTGTGTATGTATTCGCACACAATGGATTGGCTAATGTCATTTTCCCTTGTACACAGGCATTGTGATGAGCAAGACCCCCTTCTTCTTATAAAAAGTTGCTGAGGTGGTTTCTTCATCCACAGGCTCTGGAAGATCCACCTGCAGTCTGTATTTTTCAAGGCACTCAATCAGGACATCATCCTGAAATGGAAAAGGAGATTCAGGGAGGCGCTTGAGAGTCACACGGGGCTGACTGGCAAAAGGGGGGATAACATGCAATTTGTAGTTGCCTCACCTTAGAAACACTCAGGTTACACTCAGACACACAGCAAACGTCTGGCAATTCAATTTTTAGTTCAATTTCTAGGGGCTTCTCATTTGCATCCTTCTTGGTAGTGATTTCATAGGCAGGCTTGTACACCTCTGGCCTGTTTGTAGTGGAAATCTCTTCAATTAGATGCTTTTTGGAAGATGCGGGGTTCTCCAGTGGCAGAATAAGGCCACTGTTGTCCTCTGCCATGAGGCTTCTCAGTTGGCTGAGTGTCACTTCTTCCAAAGATGATTTTCAGAGACGAGTTCAGACAAATAAATGGATCATATTGTTATGGAACGAAAGGGTCAATTAAATGCCCTGCCTGTTCTCCCACTTCAGGGTGGCTTTTGGAAAAGCAACTCCCAAGAGGGCAAAAGTCTGTCTCCCTTTGTTTGCACAGTGGTCTAGTCAAGGTTCAGTAGAATTGTTAACTGACAAAATGAAAGCTGCCACAATTGCACAGTTCATAAAATAAGGGAATACAGCACACTTCCGTATAATGTATATGCACACTTCGACGCTCTCTCTAGAGAAAGCCATTCTCATCTGTTTCAAATAAAGATGATGCCTCTTAAGGTAATACTTGCTAACTGCAATATTTTATAAATACTTGTATTATTTTTCGGATTTCTATACTGCCCTCTCATAAGACTCAGGTGACATCTAGAAACAAATTCAGTGAAGTCATTTCTGTTAAAATCAGTATCAATTCACTCGATTCATTAAAACATTAATATTTGCCCAATGTAAATTGTCGGGTATCAACTGCTCATTTAAAAAGGATGGTTTTCAGTGCCTTATGAAACGCTGGAGCTAGATGCCTTCGGGAGGCAGCGTATCCATGCAGTGGGGACTGCTACGGGGAAGGCCTACCCCCTAGTCCGTGTCCCTCTTCTCATGGGGACAGAATCCCCAGAAGGTCCCCTCTGAATACGCAAGATGGGCAGAATCAGGCTGGATAAGGCTGTCACCCCCGGTTCCCCCCACCCCCCTGGTATGCCTTGGAGCAGCATCTTGAGCGTTACTTACCTTTGTTGGAGTCCTTCTGGGACAAAGCCAACGGGGGCTGTTCTCTTCTCAAGCTTTCCCTCATCCTTTCAAGGCTTCCTTTCAGTTTAAATTTTGCCACACTACAGGGGTGGGACAAAGTGATGTTATAATGTTCCTCAATGTACGTGAGTGACATGTTTATCAACCGATCCTTCTCTGGTGGGTCATCCTTGACTCGCTCAAGAACAGATGGATTGTACGCAATATCAAGGATGCTGTAGATCTCTACAAGAAAAGCAAGCACAATTATTCCTTCCCCAGTATATCTTGCCTTAGTTTACTATTCTGCTAGTTGCATCATGTAAGTTTCATTCCTGACATCTCACTCCTGTCCGTTCCCAATATCTCTTTGAAAGGGACAGAGCAATATAATACCCTCAAATAAACCTTCTGTAGAAATAACTGCAGTATGTGCAAGCTAGCTAAAATTGTGTAATAAAGATTACCTGAATTATCCGATAGTGCCTCCATTTTGCCGGGACTCAACAGAACTGGCTCTGATGATGATTTGGGAGCAGGGATCCTATTCCAACTGCATAGATTTATGAACAGGCAGGTTCTGGTAGGCTCCTATGAGAAAAGAACCAAGCAAGCAAAAAGCTACATGATTTATTAAAGCAGACAAATTCATATAACCATCAATCAGATATTCAAGCAATCTCTCCTTTACCACTTCATCGACTGAAAAGATGATAGTGCATCTGGAATATTTCAACTGTCTTATCAATTCCTGATGCAAAAAGAAAAATAGTAAATTCTGAAGTTGTAACAGACAAGAGAACACGTATCAAATGCGCATGTACAGCTAGCATGCTGTGCATTATTTTCAAGTCAAAGGAAGGTTTGGCATTCTGCTAAGGGCAGAAATGGTATCTGACCCAGTTGCTCAACTGGATACTGACGTACCAAGATGCAGGTCTTCAGGCACATACATGGCTCTGGGGGAGCGTAATACTGCTTTGCATCCTTTAGTTGCTGCTGCATGAACTGGTGATAACTTTCAGGGTTGTTCTCGGCCATGTCATCCAGCATTGCCCACAGCTGAGTCGCTGTTGTAACCATCTCCTCTGAGCTGCAAAAGGCTTCCATGGTTGCTCCTTAATAGCGAAAAGATGTTGCTGTAGAGGCTGTACAGGTAATTGAAAGTATTTCAATCCAAAGGTCTTCAGTGATGCTGCAGGTCCTCTGTTGGTGGCGTCAAACCTAATTGAATAAAGACAAACATGGTTCTCCTGCCCCCCTCAAGGCTTTCATCATTAGCCTCTAATGTAACTGCGTGTGCGTGAATGAATTGGGCCAAGCAGGCTGCCTGCTATGTGTTGTTCTGGTGGGCCTCCTGGTCTAGTTAAAACCTCACCAGACTGTACAGAAATGGGAGCTTTATTTTCCCCTATTTATCAAATACATGCTTTGCCTCTACCATGCTTGATGCAGCTACGAAGGCCACGAAATAAAACCGTAACACCACAATTAACCCTCTGAAAGGCAACCACCATGAAAAAACTCATGAAAGACGCTAAGGGGCTTTCTGGCGCTGAGTGGACTTCTGGAAGGGCCCGGTCCCCGAATCTGGAAGTCCACTCCTCTTAAAGTTGCCAAGGTTGAAAACGCTGCTCCGGAGCCTTAAAAAGCTTGATTTGGGCATCATCCAGTGGCTCTGGGCCTGGTGCCCCGGTTGCCAGAGCTTTGTGCAAGCCCCGCACTCTTCTGGCAAGGGTGCGACCGCGGGCCACCTGTTGAAGAAGGAGGGGCGGCAACCGGAGGCGGCGGCGACTGGATTGGCTTTTCGGACCCCTTTTCTCCCGGCAGGTCCTAGGAATGGCGGGGGGATGTGTGTAGCTTGGAGAAAGCATCTCTTTAGGCCCTCGCCCAGCCCTCCCCCGCTTCAGCCCGTCCCGGCCACGGATGATGGGAACTGCCCTCCTAGCCGTCTGCAAGGCGCCGACTCGGCCAGGGGTCGAAGGCGCGCGAGAGGTGGGGACTTCGCCCCCATCATCCCCAGCCGAAGACGGATTATGGGAGAGCCGTCCGGGCCGCCGCGAGAGCGCCGTGGCGCGAAAGACCCACCCGCGCTGGCGTTGCCAGGCGGCCACCCGTCGCCATGGCAACCCCGGAAGCGGCCTCGCCGGAAGTGGCGCCGCTGCCGCCTTCCGCCGGCCCGCTCGTGCGCCCGCGCTCGGGGGTTCCGGGGCCTGGGCGAGCCACGGTGGCGGGACGGTGTGAGGCACGCT